TTGGAGAGTGTAATATGAAAATGATCTGTATTAGGCCTTGTAACACATGAGCCAAGGTCCAAAAAGACTCTATGTGTGTGGGGGGGGAGAAAGGGGTTAGAGAGGGGAATGGCGATGTTCAAAGAGTGGTACTACCACCTATACCCACGCTATGATTTTCCCAAGAAGCTCAATTTTGTGGGACTGGACTGTCCCCTACTCCGGACACAAGGGCAGTGGTTAAAGACCCTGGTCGAACAACGTTACCTGGAGTCTCTCAAAGTTAATCATGGAACTGCCATTAAAGTAGCCACATATTTACCAATACTATTTATAAAGTGAAATAACCAATAAGTAACCAGAATGGAATTAAGAATCACAGACGCATGGTCAGCCTCTTAGTCACGTCCCCTTCCTGAAATAAAGCTCCTGTATATAAAGGCATGTGAAGGAAAGTAGTCCTGGGGAAAATGAAAGACTGTTCAATTCATTGTGGAATAAAAAGGTAGGGAATTACAGTTTCGGCAATATTTTCTACATTAGTCTATTTCCTTAGTTTGGTAATTCTATATATCACCATTTTAAAACTCTATGTCAGGAAAAATTGAGACTCTTTGGTATCCAACCATGTCCTCAGGGCCATTTCCTTAAACGCCACTATTTCCTTTTTGTGGAATACTTTTACATTCAGGATCTCATTTTATCTTTACACACTCATACTCACACACACACACACACACAACAAGTCCCTAGTGGCTTTATCATTAGCTGACTGCAGCTGGGAAATCTTCAACACGCTCAAAGCAAACCATCCTGTGTCACATCATGTCAGATCCTTGGCCAAACTGCCTCCAGTAAGTCTTTCAAAAAAGATGTGCAAACATTAGCTGCACAATATACTATGATTCATCTTCCAGAAAAAAAAACACCTGTATATTTTTACTCTGCACACGTACACCGTAACTTTCTCAGAATGCTTTATCATTTAAACATATACATTTTAATGTTTTTGTACTGATAGACTAAGAGTAAGAAAAGCTCTCAGTTATTTTATGGAGCAAAACAAAAAAATCTGTTGAAACTAAATACCACATTGGCAGGATATTCTTCATGCCAATTCTCTGCCTCAATCAAAAAACAAAAAAGAGTTGACCCTATATAACTCCTGCATTCACAAATACACCCTCACCATTTTGAGGACTTTAAAATAAGAACAATGACGACCATAAATCAACCAGGGACCTTGTGTTCAAACTAAATGAAAAAGCCCTCATTACCGAACATTTTTCATATAAAGGAGAATGTACTTTATTATCACCAGAGTCACTGCCAGCCAGGTGATAACAGATTTTAAGTTAGGGCTCAAAAGAACCTGTCAGCCTCAGTACCGTCTTAAATAGGCTCTGTACCTCCTTGCCTCTTTTATCTAAATCCCATCGCTCTCTATCCCCAACATGTTCAAACATTAAGCTTGGCCAAGAACAGCCTCTCTAGAAAACAATGAAATGGTCAAATGAAGCTGTACATGCTGACTGGTCCTTCCTTGCTCTAATAGTTTAAAACATTAACCTTAATACATTTTTTAAAACTTTCTTTTATTTATGTAGCTAAATATCAAGATAATCTTGATTATAACATTCATTTAGTTAACATTCACAAAATTGGGGCAGAGCATTATCCATATCATAACTCCATAAATTGTGTTCTTCTTAGCCATAATTCAATAAAATATGGACTCTGTGGGCTTTTCAAAAAACATCTATGTGCTCACTGACAGAGCTAAAATGAAGTATTCACCACATTAGGCAAGAGTAAGTAAAACTTGACAATGTACAATTTCAATGTCTATCTATAAGTATGTCCTTCAATCTAGTATTTATGAAAAAATATTTTTATCTAAAAAGTGATCATCTGAATTGAAAAATGCATTTGAGGTCACTTTTCTGGGGGCCAAAGAAGTAAAAAAAAAAACTTCTGAAGATCTTCTGAAAGTAAATACACTAAAATGAGGTCAGAAAACTTTTTTTCATAAAAGGCCAGAAAGGAAATATTTCAGCTTTTGCAGTCTGTATGGTCTTGATTTCAACTATTCAACTCTGCCATTGTAGCACTACAGCATTGTAACAGCTATAGACAACATGTAAAGGAATAAGTGTGGTTGTGTTCCGATAAAACTTGATTTACAAAACAAGGTTTGTCAACTCCTATACAAAAAGACAGATCTTCTCTTATGAGAATGTTTATGCGCACACCTTTGATGCAAAGCTGACTTGAGAAATGTCACTCTAAATGGCTATTCTCGCACAATAATTTCTTTCTGGTTAGGAGGATAAAATATCACCTGCATTTAAAAAACTATGTTCACTAAAGAAAGTTATGTTTTGAAAGGAAAACTGATCTCTGTATAATCTCTATGACCAGACAGAGAAAACCTGTGTTGGGGGCAGGTGGAGGGCGGGAACTGGACGAGTGTAGGGGAAGCAAGGTGAACGAACATTAACCCATGATTCGTATTCTCAGAACTATTTGCAAAAGCTGTTAACAGAGTATAAAACACATTTGTGCCCTCAGGAAGCTCATAACATAGTTAAAAGAACAAACATTTTTTGCCTCCACCTTCCAAAATTTTCAACATTAAGGGCATATGGGATTATAAGCATATTTTTTTAAAGATGCTCAAAATCTAGGTTTCAAAATAAAGACATATTTTTGATGAAGACCTACACTTTTATAAACAGAAAAAGACTTCACAAAAATCATGTTAGATCCAGAATTCTATTTTCTATTTCTATTCTTTTTTCTATATCAATTCTGCCTTCCTATCAGTAACTATGGCTCACCACAGGGGCACAGCCTCCTGAAAGGATCTGTCAGGACCTTGTTGGGGATGGGAGTAACTGAATTGGAAAAAATGCCTAGGTGGTTCTGATCCCTCTAATCCCTTCCTTCCCCATCCTCCAATTCCCACTCCAAGAAACTCTACTATATATCATAATTTTCTCTCAAAACATATAAAGGCAGTTTTCTCCGCTGGCAAAGCAGAATCTTCAACCTTAAAATACACTGAAAATTACAAATCTGTGTGCCTTCCTTCAAGGCAGGCTCTATCATCAAAAGGTTAAATTTGTGTAGGGGGAAACAAAAATTTCCTAGGCTGTAAGCAAAAATTAAGAAGTAAGAAAATCACATCTTTATACTCAGGCCCATCATTAATTAGAAAAGTAAGGTTATTTCAATTAGGAATAAATTCCTAGGCAAAAATTATAACTATTTAAAGGGGGGAAACACATAATGTCTATCTTTTATTATAATTTTAGGCCTGCTCCCAAACATTTTTTTAAATCTGACTGAATTTATCACTAGTTCCTTTTTCAAACTATATACCTATCCAGAAGAATTCTCTTATTAGTTTTTTCAAAAAAAAAAATGATTAATTCTACCACTTAAAAGCAGAAAAATAAATCACAATGCCTTCACTAGGGCTAAGGAAATCAAAGACTAAAAAAGTAGACCCTAAAAGAAACAGGCACACTGTAACTGGTAAGCATTACAGACAAGAGGAATTTTAACTTTAACATCAAAAATTAGAGATTCCTCAAGGGGAATGCTTAGGTGGGATTTTTATTTTTTTAGCTTATTTTCTTTTTCACAATGAGCATGTAATTTCTCATTTTAAAAAGTTTAAGAACTGAAAGACATTTTTCACATATGGAAATAAAAGTAATCCTAACTTGGAACTATATTTAAGATTTTCTCATTAGGAAAAAATGAGAGACTCCATTAGCTTAAGCCAACATAGATGGTATATAAATGAATGCGTATAGTTATATTCCAATAAAACTTTACAAACACCGGCAGTGGAGAAGCCTTCAGGCAGTAGTTTGCCAAACCCCTGCTCTAAAACAGCCCTATTTTAAAACCAATATTAGATTATCTAAGATTGCAGACACATAAGAGATAAACTAGCTATATACAATTATTCCACTCTATCAAGTCTTTCCTACCTGCAGTGAAAAGTGCTACAAGCAGCAGAGGTCAAAATTGCTAACAGGAAAGGGAAGAAAGGTCAATATGTTAACAAAACCTACTCCTTAGACAATCATTTCATTTAGAGCATCCAGTCAACAAACATTTGCTCAGGACACACGGCCCCTGGCCTCAAAGACTAGTACAAGGCAACATATGAATATAAACAAATAGTACTAATTAGGCCAGCTAAGTGCCACATCTGCTAAATGCTTCACGGTTTAACATGTTTCCACATATGTTTCTTAATAAAACCTCGTAACAACCCTGTGAAATACATAAAGCACTTGGTATTATTCTCGTTTTTCACAAAGCTCAGAAGCAGGAGAGCTAGGATTTGAACCTCTGATACTACCGCACTACACCACTTCAGTGCAGCTTTCTATTAGGGGCTGATAACAGAGGTGAAGGCATTTGGACTGAGCCTCGAAGAATGAGCAGGATTTTGAGACCATAGCATCGCAAGGAAACAACATAAACAGAAGTCAAGAAGCAGGGAAATACGTGTGTGAAGGGAGTGCTGGGTTGGTTTACGTAAGGCAGGTAGGGGAAATATGGCTATAAAGATGGGTTGAAAACATGGGGAGAGCTTTAAGTAGCTGACTTAGCATCTGTATATAACCCTACAGGCAACGAGAAATCAGATGGTTTGGGAAAGAGAAGAAAGAAAAAAATACAAATGAGGCTCTTACTGTGTGTTTGGTACTTTGCAAAAGAATTGCCTCATATTCAGAGATGTTAAGTTATGATGTAGTTTTAAAGGGAGATTAGACTTTCATTAAATCCTCTGTAGAACTGGAAAGATGGGTCTAACAGAAGGGAAAGTGGTAGACGGCTATCTCCATAGTTTCAGCGTGAGGGGATAGATGATGCAAAGCAATTCCTGTCCGTGTCTGAAGTGATGGTTCTTACAGGTCCCCTACACTACCCCACCCCATAGTTAAACCAACGTCCTAAATTACCTTACATTTTCCTACATTTTATCTAAAACTTACTGAATCTTCCGGAGGTCTCTGGATTTTTCCCCAATCCACAGAAGGTCCCTTTTCTTGCAAAAATCTATGAAATAGCTTCCGAAATCCATCAAGGTCTTTTTTAGTGTGCTATGAAAATAGAAGTTATTGTTACAACTAGCAGAATGCTTAATATTTAATAAAAACAGATACATATTATACATTTAAAATATATTTCAATGAAATTCTTATACTATTAGAACATGGAGTAGAGCAGAGCCTTTTTTATACCCCAATTTAAAACTAAAGAGGAAGAAAAGCTAATAGGAATCACACTTAAAGGAATAAAAGCAAATAATCCTTCCCATCTCCCACCAGTATCATATAATCTGAACACCATTTGGTCCATGGGAATTCCAATTGATTCTCTACATATAATTCACCAATATCTTTCTCTACTCTTTTAAGCGAAAATTAATCTTCACCAAAAGAACAAAAAGGAACAAAACACAGCTAACCTCAAAACATGAAGTACAAATTGAAAACTGAAAATGAAAAGGATAATCTATTGATTTATAAGCAAAAAGTAAACACCTGCCTATTCTGGGAACCCTCTAATTAGCTGACAAAGTAACATGGTTCTATTAGAATTGGCTCTCTGGGGCCGGCCCTGTGGCTTGGTGGTTAAGTGCGCGCTCTGCAATGGTGGTGGCCCGGGTTCGGATCCTAGGTACGCAGCAAGGCACCACTTCTCCGTCCATCCTGAGGCCGAGTCCCACATGCAGCAACTAGAAGGATGTGCAGCTATGACATACAACTATCTACTGGGGCTTTGGGGGGAAAAAATAAAATAAATAAAATCTTTAAAAAAAAAAAAAAAAAAAAGAATTGGCTCTCTGGAGGGCCAGCCCTAGTGGCCTAGTGGTTAAGTTCAGTGCACTCTGCTTCGGTGGCCCAGGTTTGGTTCCCGGGCGTGGACCTACACCACCTCTGTCAGTGGCCATGCTGTGACAGTGGCTCACATATAAAATAGAGGAAGATTGGCAACAGATGTTAGCTCAGGGAAAATCTTCGTCAGAAAAAAAAAGAGGAAGACTGGCTACAGATGTTAGTTCAGGGCAAATCTTCCTCAGAAAAAAAAAAGAATTGGCTCTCTGAAAAGGCATGCAGGATATATGGTTGATAAACTAACTTCTCACAATTCTATTAAACATTGGTATCCATTTCTCCAGGTGAATATATCAAAACACAGAACAAATTAAGTGTAATTTTGTCCTGATGCTTTTAGACTTTGGAAACATCCTAGAATTAAAAAAAAAAAAAAAAAGACAATGGTTTATAATGGCCAAATGTTGAAAATCCTTAACTGTTAAGCAATCATAATTTTTTTTTAATGTTGCCATTACACCTTGTGCTTATTTTAAGCTGGACGATCAGCAGCAGCAATAGCAATTCAGTATGCAGACAGATGAAAGCAAAAAACACTGTAGAGTCCTTACCTCAAACTCATGTGATGGTGCTGTGGTAAGTATTTTTTCTAGTTCCTTCTTCACAGATAATTCTAGCTCTTGTCTAATGACTTCTTGGAACTGGGAAGCACCATCCTGAGACATTGCTTTACTAAGATCTTAAAACAAAAATACAAAACCACCAAATGAAAAATCAGACAGTCATTCAAACAGCAGGTAAGCTACGAGTGATTTATCTCTGGTGTTCCAGCAAATGAAAAGGGCTCAATCCTACGGTCCCATCATCCTCTTGCAGGATTTCAGTAGTGTCAACCAGTTAGGACTATACAATCATATGGGCTCAAATTTGACTGTTTGGTATATCTATATGCTTTACTAGTGTATCTGAAACACTAATTAAACACTTTTGGGAAGATGGGGCAGGTAGAAGTAAAAAGAGTAATCTTCATTTGAACATATAGTTCCTTCTCTACTAATATTTCCCTTGTAGCCATCAAAGCTGAAGAACAATAAGAACTAGTCATGTTTATAAGGGCATGTTTTATTGAACATGCCCTTATGGAACTGCCACCTCATAACAGAACTGAAGGGGTTTGGCAATTTCGAAGAAGCAAAAGACTCCTCCCTCCTCCAGGCCAGATGAAAAATTTAAAGAATCCCTTCCATTTGAGAAGTAGAGCCACTCCAGTTTTATATTTCTTACTAAAGAAGAACTCCTTGAGAGAGGCAATTTCAAGGTGCCTCTCCTCCCACAGCAAAATCTTCTCTTTAAAAGGAGAAGGGCACAGGTCTGCCTCTCTACTTCTGGGCCCCAATTTCAGCCAAGACTTTTCAGTGCTTATCTGTGTCAGACAAGACTACCAGGGCTTTTGGCATAGCTAGGCATCTCTGAGACAGACGAATCTCACTAAAGGTGACAGAAATGCCTGTTAGATGAAAACAAACAAAAATAGAAAAATACAGAAAAAGAAAACATCCCAGGTCCAAGTACCTTGGAATAAAAATGCCAACATAGGTTGTTTCACATATTTAATCATCTAGACAGTAATTAGCCTGTCTACTTCTTATAAAATAAGGGACATTCAGGTTATTGCTCACCTCCCCTTTTATCTTCAATACCTAACTCAATCTTATTTTATAAATGTATTTTTGAAACTTATGTTCAAATATTTTGTTTGAGAACTAATTAGTTCTACAAATGTTAGTTAATTTAGCAGAATCACATTTAAATAAAGCCAAAAACATTCCAATCAAGTTTTATTATTGAAGTTTATTTAACTTCAATAAACCTAAAAACAACATAAATTCCTTCATTTGTTATCTGGGCAGAAGGAAACATTTAAATAGACAGAATTAAAGCCACCATAATCAATATTTTTAAGATGCTTTTGAGAGCAGAAATTAGTAAATTATGTATCTCCTGAGGCAATTTATTTAATGTAGATAGCCTCTCTCTTTCCTAAATATTTAAAAATGTTAACAAGTGAGATATTTAACATAGCTCTTCAAAAATCTTTTTATACACACTTTCAATCATATTAAAATCCACAAGAAAAAAAAAAAAACAAGGAAATGTAGTGAGAGCACACAACCTAATCCCAAAATAGCCATCTTCCAACTGTGCTCTTTTTATAGGCATAAACCACAACACAACTAAGTTTATGGACTCCAGTAAAACTACCACAGTCACCCAAACTGTGGTTCATAAATAACTTCTTTGTGAGCTAAGAAACACACGTGTGTGTTCCATAAACAACTTAAAGATATGTTTCGACTAATAAGTAGCAATTTGATTACAATCTATAAAAATCCATGACAATGGATGAGCATTTATGCATAACTATCATAGGTAATTAAAAACTCCTGCAGAACATTTTCAACTAGAGTTAATGTGACATGAACCATGCATGTTCATCCCTTGGCTGACTTATTTGTAATTTAAAATTTGTCACAGATTAGGTCCCCCACCCTGCTGCCCCACCATGTATACCTGGGATGTCTCTCCCCCAGTCTTTAAGCTAACTCCCATATTAATGTTTAGGAAATAATCTAGAAAAATCTACTAAATATAAAATCTCTAAATTAACACATGAACTGTTTGATTCTGTGTCACAGACAGATTAAAATAGATCTAGAACTATCTAATGTTTTTTAAAGTAAGTTTTTTTGTTAGACTCAAAGACATCTACAGATGCTGCTTTGTTGCTGAAGTTAGATCCTGAAAGCCGGGCATTCACAGTCACATTCCTAAAACACAGTGATGGAAAGAAACATTTAACTTATGGGCAAATGCCAAAACGAGATAAAACTAAATGTAACTGCAAAGTTTAAAAATAACTATAGTAGCTGTTTGAGATTTGTCCACACGAAAATAGTCAAAAAGAAAAAAAAACCCCACCAAACTTTAGAGACTCCCTCTGCAGAACAACAGCCTATCAATGTACACAATTTAAGGTCAAAACACATAAAACTGATGTCACTATCCTCCCTACCAAGCCAAGGAAGGCTGGCTGAAAGACTCACATTTAATACTACATGTGATCTCTGCCAACTGCACCAGGTCCAACCTTCAGACAGAACCAAGAAAACTCAAACACAGATTCAAATTTGAGTTATGACAAAGTTCCCTAACCTTTATTCCTCTCATTTGTTTGATATAGCACCAAATGCAAACGAAGAACCATTTGTATGCCTTCTACTCCCTCTACAAAGATGAACAGCTTACGCAACAAAAGAACATTGCAAGCCTATCACCTCTTCCATCCCATGCCACTGCTGTTTCCTTTCCCTTCCCCTGGGCAAAGTGCTACTATGAAGTTCTGTTTTTCAGTGATTAAAGAATAAGGGCGGGTTTTTAAGGAATAAAGAAAATTCAAGAATAAGGAAGTGTGCTTAATCAAGACAAGTGTCTATCTTAAGCACCTGGCACAGACCAGGAGGCACAGAGCTAGAAACTATTCCCTTTGCAGTGACCTCCTTATCCATCCTGAATTTAAGAAAGGTCTGGAATTTCACGTAGGAAAAGAAGTACAGACCTTATAAGCTTTCTTGGATTTAACATTCTCAGGTTACACTTCTGGCAATGACAGCTGTGTTTCTAATGGAAGGTCAAGTAAAAGAATCCCCTGAATAATGTAAGATTTCTAACCTCCTAAAATGTTTTGTCTCTCCTCACTTCCTAGCAATGGAGAATTGATCCTCCTGGACTTTAGACAGAGAGTGGATTAGGAATCAAACATTTCATTACCTCAGTCATAAATCAAAACATTTTTAGAGATGAAAAGGAACATTTAATCTACCCTCAACATTTTACATATGAGGAAACTGAGGATAAAATAGTTAACTGACTTATCTAAGGTCACAGAGCAGGCTAACGCCAGAACCTGGAAGCAAAGCTAGTTTATCCTGAGCCCCATCCTACCACAGTGAGGTGGAAATATCCTGCTCATTTTTTCCTCCTACTCTGGCTCTCTTTAATCCTTGGCACAAAATCCCTAAATAACACTCTCCTCCAAAATCATTTCTATCAGAATGTCTTCTTATACCCAAGAGAACAGACAGGAAACTTCCCATTACATAAAACTGGGCTTACTAGAATTGTCTTGGCTGACTTACTTATAATTAAGTCAATGTGGGATAGAACAGGCAGTAACTTTTTTTTAGAAGTTTTTCCCCCACCTCGATTTCCTAATTCTTCCTTGTTCACAAGAACTAAAATTTCAACATCATGGACTTTCCTACCCAACTGGAACCAAAAAAAAGGAGGATGAGGAAAGCAATAGAATCATAAGGAAGGAGACATTCCATCTAACAAGCGATTGTTTTTGTTTCTTAATTCAGGTATTTCATTTCATCCATTTCAGCAACTAAGTATACATAACACTCTTCTCTGACCTCCTGATACCGGCACAAACAAAACAACTTCACATTCTAAAGTAGAAAGCCAGCTTCACAATGCACAGGCCATGGAAAGGCCGCAGAAAGACCACCAAGAGCAACAAAGAGGGTGAGGAGCCCTCCCCAGGCCACCTCCCACCACTCACTAGATCTGATCAATCCCAACCTTCCTTGGAAACCCACACTGAGAAGTACCCAAAGTCAGAGAATTGGAAAGCTCGCTTAATCTGTTTTAAACCAGAAATGGGTTATGACCCAAATAAGCATAAAACTCTTAAGAATGTAGTGACAACTGGAAGTAACCATGAACAAAGTCGAGGACATATACTGACTAGTTTTATGACCAATTAAAGCTAACCATCCTCTTCTGGGCTCTCACTGCAGTCCTTCAAACTCAGTTATTTGTGAATATTCCTCCTAGAAAAGCTTTTCATCTTTGGATTCCATTACCCAATATTACCCTACATCTTCTCCTACCTCTCTGACCAGGCCTCAATTTCCATAACTGGCTCCTCATTCTTCTCCTACGTCCTGGGTTTCCTAAGATTCTGTACCCAAACCACTTTTTTCCTCAATTATTCCCTTACCAGTCTCCTTATTGATAACTCCTGAATATGTGCCTCTCATCCTGATCTTTTTTCCAGGCTCACATTCCCTATAGCCTTCCAGACCTGCTGCACCTGGATACTCAGCTGGGTATCTAAACTAACTTCATCTCCCTGACCTCCCTGCTCCTCACGGCATTAACATTCTCCTAGTGACTCCGAGGTGACCTGGAAATCTCAGTCACAGTTGGCTCTTCCCTCCTTTCCCCTCACATTACATCTAATCCAATACTATACTTTTTTTTGGCCTTGGGAACATTTCTTTTTTTTATTTTTTTTGTGAGGAAGATTCAGCCCTGAGCTACCACCCATGCCAATCCTCCTCTTTTTGCTGAGGAAGACCGGCCCTGAGCTAACATCTATTGCCAATCCTCCTCCTTTTTTTTTCCCCCTTTTTCTCCCCAAAGCCCCAGTAGATAGTTGTATGTTATAGTTGCACATCCTGCTAGTTGCTGTATGTGGGACGCCGCCTCAGCATAGCCCGACAAGTGGTGGGTCGGTGCGCGCCCAGGATCTGAACCCGGGCTGCCAGTAGCAGAGTGTGCCCACTTAACCGCTAAGCCACAGGGCCGGACCCCAATACTATACTTCTTAATCGAATCACCACAATTCCATTCATTGTTTTCCACTCCCATTGCTGCTACCTTAATTTCCCT